AGATGCAATTAGGAATCATTGGTTAAGATTTATTTACAACAGAACAGCACAACCCAGATGTTCGAATTTGTGCAACGTATTTTATGGATGACAGTTTTGTGAACCTAGGAGAGTAGCCTACAAGGCAGGCTGTGCAAAGGCTATTTCTAAAAAAAAAAATGGGTCAATTCCGACTTTGCTATGAGCATCATCACTGTCTCTGTCACGCGACTCTGTTCCCCTTTCGGGCTTGAACTGATGGTAAAACTAAGGACATCTACTGTCTTTACATTTATGTTGAAAGCTGCAGCTCGCGATTATGGAAAGGGGCTTCCGACGTGTGCTTGTGGTGTTCGGCCAATCACAATGCACTGGGTCTGCTGGCCAATCAGAGCAGACTGTGCTTGTCGGAAGGAGAGGCTTTGTAGAAAACGACACGTTTGAGAGAGGCGGGGGATAGAGGAACTACAATAATGTACAGTATTTGAAAAAAAATGTCTTTTGAACATTAAAGCATGTCAACATATTCTGTTACACCAAATACACAAAATAATGATCTTTAAAATAGCATCATGTGACCCCTTTAAATTCAGTGATCACATGCACACTGAAGTTTGAAAATTCTTGAAACGGTTCCCGCAGCCGTGAAATTTTTTCTTGAAATTTGAAAAGTCATGGAGATTTTTAAAGTGAATGTCTTGAGCAAATCTTTTTAAGACTGTTGTTTTCAATGCATTGTCAAGCTGACTCATAAATAAGTCTAAATTATTTATTAGCAAATTGATTTGAATTGATTTAATAATGAATTAGATAGGAATTAATATATTAATAATTCATTGAATAATCCTTATCCAGTAATCACAAACTACTTAAAAATTCATATCAATTCATTAGTTAAAAAGAGAGTTGGAACCCTGTTGAAAGTTTTATATCTAGACGATTATTATAGCTGTTATATTCAATTCAATTCAAGTTTATTTGTATAGCGCTTTTCACGATAAAAATCGTTGCAAAGCAACTTTACAATATTTAGTGGTAGCTTATCAGTGGTGACTGTCAGTTAATGTACATATGGCAGAAATGTACGGAAAAAAATCAATTCAAGACGTAATCAAACAGCCGATGAACACTATTAACAGCAATTATTATATGATGCAATCAAACTTATCGCAAATGTGGTAGTTCTGTATGTTGTTTCAGGGTTGGCATCATCTGAGGTACTCTGAGGGGTTGGCATCATCTCTTCTCAGGTGTTCTGGATCCAGACTGAAGCTTGTGTAAATCCTAGTTAGGCAAAAACAGAGAAACGAATAGAGACATAATTAGCGTAGCTGCTGTTCCAACCAAACAAAATTGATTTGTTTAACCCAAACTAAAGAATAATAATGTGCATTTGATCAGGTATAACTGCAGTACAATATTATGAGATGCATTATTTGAATGCTTGGCCAAAGAGATGTGTCTTTAATCTAGATTTAAACAGAGAGAGTGTGTCTGAACCCCGAACGTTATCAGGAAGGCTATTCCAGAGTTTGGGAGCCAAATGCGAAAAAGCTCTACCTCCTTTAGTGGACTTTGCTATCCTAGGTACTACTACTACCAGCGTGGTAGAAGACTAGTTAGGTACGCAGGAGCTAAACTATTTAGGGCCTTATAGGTAAGTAATAATATTGTGTAACTGATACGGAACTTAATAGGTAGCCAGTGCAGAGACTGTAAAATTGGGGTAATATGATCATATTTTATTGACCTGGTAAGGACTCTAGCCGCTACATTTTGGACTACCTGTAGCTTGTTTATTGAAGATGCAGGACAACCACCTAGCAGTGCATTACAATAGTCCAGTCTAGAGGTCATGAATGCATGAACTAGCTTTTCTGCATCAGAAACAGGTAACATGTTTCGTAACTTGGCAATGTTTCTAAGATGGAAGAATGCTGTTTTTGTAACATGGGAAATATGATTTTCAAAAGACAAGTTGCTATCTAATATAACACCCAGATTTTTGACTGTTATATGCAGATACATCAGCACTTTTAATGACGATGGTTCATCTTAGCAGGCTGATACGTCACAAATGTACGCTCCAGTAGGCGCCTACATTTCTTTGCGTGTCAGTGCGTAAATGTACCAACGCAAACCGTCAATGGTCTGATTCTGCTGAGTCACTGGATTTTCACTCATTTTCACACATGGTGACTGTGTTTGAGCCAGGCCTGACATGCTGGAGAAGTACTGTAGAGAGCAGTATGAGTTTTTTGGGTTTTTTTTTTTGGTTTTGTAAAACGTCTTCTTTTTTTCCTTCTTTCTCATTTGGCAGCCGGTTTCTCAGGTGCTTCGGGATGAAGATTGTCCCTCAATGATTGTGCCAAGCAGACCATGTAAGTTTTTTTCAGAGAATAATTTTGTGAGGAATACATAGTCAAATGGATGCTTTGTTTGCTTGTATTGTTCGTTACAATTGCCTGTATTAGTGCCAAATTTCAGTTCAAAACATTTAAATGTACATCAGCATTAATAATGTACAAATGCTTCAAAAAATATCCACAATTTCAGGAGAATCTCGAAACTAGTTCCCGAACAAAGAAAACCAAACATTTATGGGTATAAGTGGGCTAAATTAATTCACATTAGAACTATGTGTAATTAAAATTAAGATACTAATGAAATATTACATGAATGTATGTAAATATGAATAGAAACCTGTATAGCAGGAGATCAGGAGTTTCAGTTCAGGCCACACTGTAAAAAAAATTCTGTAGTTTTTACAAAATAATTTTGGCAGCTGTGGTTGCCAGAATAATTTTGTAAAAAATACAGAAAAACTGTAAACACATTTA